TTTGCTTTGTCAGCCCTTTGTCGGGAAGGACGGGCGCCTGGACATGGTATGGGAAGAAGGCTTTGGAAGAAGCAGAGGGAGGAACTGCCCGGGGAGGGCCGCGGGGGGGGGGGGGAGGTTTGAGACCCTGCAAGGCCTATTCTCCAGGGGCACAGGGAAGGGCACAGGCACAGGCACATGGAGTTCCACCTGCACTGGAGGCGGTGGGGTCTGAGAGACAGGGGTACAACAGCAGGAGAGTCAGAGGTTAGATGGTGGAGGGACTTCCAGAGGCAGTGGGTGCCACCGTGGCGGAGGGGCTTGGGTTGGATGTGGGTGTGACAGTTTGGAAGGTCTCCGATGCCTTGCTCTTCCCTGCTCCCTTAGGTCCACATCCAGAACGCAGCATTGGCCGGAGGGGTTGTGGTGGGGACAGCAAGTGAAATGATGCTGACACCCTTTGGGGCGCTAGCAGCTGGCTTCCTGGCCGGAACCGTCTCCACGCTGGGGTACAAGTTCTTCACGGTACAAACGCCCCTCCAGCCCTGGGCGGAACGGGTCTTCGGGGCCCCTCCTCCCACCTCTCTAACAGGCCTGGGGTGGGAGGGCACACGAGACTCATTATTGGTGTCCTGTCCTCCAGCCCGTCCTTGAGTCAAAATTCAAAGTTCAAGACACGTGTGGTGTCCATAACCTTCATGGGATGCCTGGGGTCCTGGGAGCCCTACTGGGGGTCCTTGTGACTGGGCTGGCCACTCATGACGCTTACGGAGATGGGTAAGCCCCCCGCCCCGCCATTGATTCACACTGAAGTCATTTCCACTTGGAATGACCTCCCTCACTCTCTCCCCAACCCCATGTGCACCAACAAAAAAGCATTTTCACTTATTCATCCCTATTCTGGGAGCTGAGGAAACCAGAGTGAGCAAGACCAACCAGGGGGGCTGCCTTCCTGGTCCTCGGTCAAGGTTAACAGGTCACTGAACAAATGATCTCAACAATGTCACTAAAGGGTCAGGAAGAGATAATGAGCCTTATGATCGACGTTTGCACATCAAGGCTCAGAGGAGAGGGCAGGCCAAAGTGACCCTCAAACTGAGTCTCGAAAGGCATGGGGGTGTCTGCTGGCACACGAGGGAGAGTGGCGGGGGTTCCAGGCTGCGGGCCTGACTGGGGCAAAGACAAGACTCAGCCTGATGGGTTCCCGGAGGCCCTTGAGCGGCTGCATGACGCAATGCTCTCAGACACCGACCCGCCCGCCTCCCCACAACCTCCCCGCAGCCTGCAGAGCGTGTTTCCGCGCATCGCCGAGGGCCAGCGCAGCGCCACGGCCCAGGCCATGTACCAGCTCTTCGCGCTGTTTCTCACGCTGACAGTTGCCGCTGTGGGTGGGGGTGTTGGAGGTGAGTGATCTTGGCTGGGGCTGGGGGGCTGGCAGGAGCTCCAGGGAGGGCAGAAGACCGAGGAAGGGGGTTCTCTGGAGGGAAGGCATTGGGACATTTATTTACTCGGGTATTTATTGAGCACCTACTTTGTGCCAGGCGTGGGGTGGGGTGGCAGAGTTCAGGGGTGACCTCCTGGGGGTCAGGTGGAGCACTCCGCAAGGGGCTGAGTTGGGTTCCTCTACTCTGGTTCTGTGGTTTCCTTGTGCTGCTCCCTCTACCCACTAGAGGGCAGTCCAAGCTCAGGCTGAGGCCCTGGAGATGGCGAGCTGTGCATATTGTCGGCGTCCCCCCCCCCCCCCATCCCCCCTACCCCACAGGGGCAGGGAGCCAAGGGGTTGGCTTGGCTTACCACTAGATTGCAGCACAGAGAACGTCCACAGAGGCTGACTGCCCACTAATGCTGGCTCAGGCAGTCCTTCCTGATGTCTGGCCTTAGTCCTTTGGATCTTCAAAAGAAAAGCTATGATGCGGTATCTTCACCCTCCTGCTCTCAACTCGAGACTGTCATCCTTAGACAAGGTTCAGTTCATTCACTCATCTAGTTATTATTCAGTACACACTTTCTGCCTTTCTGCACCCCTCCTGGACAGGAGGCCACAGAAAGCAGCCGTGGCTCACGAGAGAATCACTATTTGGTTCATTACCAACTGTGCCAAACCTGAATTAATTACTTCACTTCTCTGAACCTGAGTTCCTTCTCTGTAACACAGGGATCACATTCACCTTCAGGATCACTACGATTACTCGGGAAGGAAATGCTTGTCAAGCCCTTTGCATGGCATCTGGCACACAGTAGGTGCTCAACAAATATGGCTGTGACTTGCCTGGGCTAGGCGGCTAGGCATCACGCTGACCCCAGGCCTCCCGGCTCCCGGCACCTTGTGGCCCTGGGTGGCAGCCTCTCCCACGGGAATAGCAAAAAGCCTCACACATCTTCCCCTACCACCACCAGGGTGCCTACTAAAGCTGCCCTTTCTGGATGGCCCTCCAGACTCCCAGTGCTTCGAGGACCGGATTTACTGGGAGGTAAGACCGAGCTGTAGCCCCTCCGGCCCACAGGGCCCTGTCACCCTGCCTGCCTCACTCCCTATGACCCCACCTGCCTCTTTCCTTCCTCGCCTGCTCATTCTCTTCGGGGGTGCGCCCCTGAGCTGTGGCATTCAGCCCCCCGGAGCCACCCCTTGACCTGCTCCCCCACCCCTGCCCTCCAGGTGCCTGGGGAGCATGAAGATGAAGCCCAGGGACCTCTGAGGGAGGAGGAACTAGACACTCAGGCCTAACTCGCACCAGCCCTTGAAAGGATGCTCTCCTTTTGGAAGATAATGCCTGGCTACGCTTGGGAAGTTCTCCTGTCGCTCCCATCCTTCCTTCCCGCTGCAAGAAGGAAGTCACGAGTCAGAGGGAGCCTCCTTTCCACAGGCAGCGCTAGGGGAAGGGCTGCAGAAGGCGCGCGAGATGGTGGAGGAGCAGGGCTATAACTGGCCCTATGGGGGGAAGAATCTCCCAGCAGCCTCACCACCACCACCAGCAGCCACAACCTGCAAGTGAGGCACCCAAGCGGCTGCTGACCCACGGGTCCAGCATCACACAGTTACAGTGTGAGCCAGGGCCCGGCTCTCCGCGGGCGATAAACACACGGTCACCAGGGACTCCGACTCCTTCCTTGTGCATTGGGGGTTTGGGGGGGTCCCTCTCACCCTGTAACTCACAGTGTTAGAAACGGGGTGGGAGACGTCTCACCTCCCGGGGTCTCTGGGACTCCCTCAGGGATGCTGTGTTCTTCCAGGCGGGTACCAGCATGGGCTTTCCTGCCTGAAGAGACAGGGAGCTCAGTCTCCCAGGAATCTGGGGCTGCTGGAGAGTTCTAGTCCAGAACTGCTGTCACTCGGACCCTCAACATGGGCAGCTTCTGAGTAGAGTAGGAAGAGGGCACCCACAGGGCCTAAGAGGGGCATAAAGAGTTCTTTGCCGTTAACTCATCAGAAGCTGGAAGCAGCCAGGCACCGCCTGATGTCCCTGTCCCCAGTCCCAGGAGCAGAGGAACTCATGAGAGTTGCCTCTGAGAAGGGCCTCCCGCTGCTTCAAGTCGTCTGACCACCAGAGGGCACTCCAGACCCAGCAGAGGAGGAGGCGGCTTTCTTGCCCCTCTGTCCCTCTTTCAAGAATGGAAGTTCTTCCTATAGCCTAACCGCCTTCCAGTCTGCTTCAGCTCTGGTCCTCATCATTCATGCCACAGCCTTCTTTGAGCTCCCAGCCCCCACTACGTGCCAGGCGGGTGCTAGGGCTTTCAGATCTCATCCAACAGAGACATCATCCCCCCAACAGACCCAAACTCCTTTCCCAGCCCTGAAGAACGGGGACCTCCCTCTGTCCTCTCCTGCCCGTCCCCAGCGCTTCCAGCAGGAAGTGAGCATGACTGCGGATCTTTCTCCCCCAAGACCAAGCCCCATTCAGACCTAGGATCCCAAGGAGGCAGAGGAGGGATTTCTGGGACCTGGCCCTGTCCCAGGTACCCCATCAGGCTCATCCTCACTGTGGTTGGATGGACTGAGTTTGGCTGGGGAAAGAGGTCAGGCACAGAGTTGGGAGGGGGAGGGCAGCTAAGGGACAAGCTCTGTCTGGGAACCATCCCTGCCCCCAGCCCAACGAGCTCCCCCTCTTTACTCCCCTCCTTCCTCTGCAGCCTCCCCTGCCCAGTGCTGGCCGGGTAGGTGTGTTGGGGGAGATTCTCATACTGAGGCACAGGATGGCTGCTGACACTGCAAAGAGGTTCCCAGTCCTGTCAGCCCCTGCTGGGCGGGAGGGTGTTTGAGAGAACTGAGGCCAAGCCTGCATTCCACCCTCTGGGGCCTGAGCTCCCAGTCCTGCTGACCTACTCTGCCCCAAAGCTCCCCAAGCAGTCCCCAGATCTGAAGACTTCAGGCAAGGAAGATGCAAGGATAGGATGAGACCCCTCCCTGCCCCAGCTCATTCTGGGTGGGGAAGTCTGAAAAACAGGTTATTCACGACACCTACATTTGCTTGACCTACACTGCTGGTTCCTCCTTGGCCACAACTAAATCTTCTCCAGGTCTGAGACAAAGGCTGGTCACTGCTCCCATCTCCATCCAGGACGGCTTCCTGGAGAAGGGACGACTGAGCCCTCTCCGGTGGAGAGCAGTTACCAAGCCAGCTTCCAGAGGAAGAGGCCACAGGTCCCCGACGGCCCTCCAAGAGGCCCCTGGGAAAGGACAGTGCCTGCTGTCCCACCAACCAGGGCCCTGCATCTCCTGCAGCCGGGCAGCTCCAAGCTCTCACTCCCACGAGTCCTCCTGTGGCTGGAAGATGTGACCAGGGCACTCTGTCTGGAGGTGAACTCTCCTAAAACAGGCCCTTGGTTTTCCTCTCTGCGTTTCCCTCTCTCTCTTCCCCATTTTGCTTCTAACGACTAGCACCTTGGTGGGCCATCCATAGGTTGTTCTGTTTAGTTGGCCTGAGCCATCATCGGTGGGCTGGGTGGGGGGCCATCTTCCCCATCGTGCAGGGAGCTCAGTGGGCAGGAAAGACAGGACCAACCTCCTCCGTCTCCTCTGCAGTCTCTGACTTAGCACTGCTGTTCCCCCACATGGTGGCCCATCCATTCAGGCTGGGTCAACAGGGTGACAATGAGCAGGTCAAGAAGATGGCAGGGCCAGGGGCCAGGGGCTCCTTCCTCGCCCCCTCAGGACAATGCGGCCTCTGCCGGTCAGGGACAGCCCCTCTGATCACCACCATTATTCCTCTCAATGCAGGGCCACCAGACACTTGCCCACTCATGAACTCTGTCCGGCACCAATGCCTGAGCTCTGGGACAGTGACGGACCAGGACACTGGCCCCTGAACATCTCCCAGGGCCCTACCGCTGGAGGCAGGCTGCCCGGAGGTCCTCAGTGCAGAGCCAGCAGAGCCAGAGGACCGAGAGCAGGGTTTCCGGAAGTGGCCACTGTTCCCTCTTGGCACAAGTGTGTGTGGGTGACAGTCCCTGCCCAGAGCTCTGGGTGGGCGACCCAAGGTCCCCCAGGGCCTCAGGGTGCTTCTGTGCCTGTGCGGCCAGGTCCCCCTTGGCCGGGAGCTGGGAGCAGCCCCGGTGACCTCTGGAGGACCCGGCTCCGAGCCCAGGCGGCCTGGGAAAGGAGGCCTGGGGCCTGACCCCCTCCCCCTCATTGGGATTCACATCACGGCACGCAGCTGCCCCAGCGGGGGTAGGAATTAGACGCGGCCTGGGTGTCCAAACTGGGGGGTGGTAGCCGTCCAGGGGCAGACAAACCGGGCAGCCTCGACCCCCCACCTCAACTCGATATTTCTCTCCCACCGTCAGGATGGCCCAGCCCGCCGCCTCCCGGCTCTGCGCCCCTCTCCTTTGTCTGCCGTCCGCCGCCCAGAGCCCCGGCCCATGCGCCCGCCGCCCGGGAACCGGGGGAACAATGCGGGCCAATGTCTCCGGCGGGCGGCGAGCCGGCTATGCAAATGCCAACAGCCTGTGAGAATTCCCTCGGCCCCTGAAAGGGGCGGGATGGGGGAGTCGGTCACTGCATAGGGATGAGCTGCCGGCCGGGCGCCCGCCGCCCGGACAGAGCGCCATTGTCTGTGGCCGTCTGATCGCCAGTCCCCCACGCCAGCCCCGGGATGAAGGCAGAAGGTGACTCAAACCAGGCCTTGGGGCCAAGGAGGGCTGGTCACCTGTCCGCGCTGTACCTACGCCTCTCCCCAAGGAGGGGTCAGACCCGGGGGGCCCACAGACTAACCCTCCCATACACTCTCAGTAACCTGCCCAAGCCAGTGGTCGGCAAACTGCGGCTGGCGAGCCACATGCGGCTCTTTGGCCCCTTGAGTGTGGCTCTTCCTAAGCCTTAGGAGTACCCTAATTAAGTGAATAACAGTGTACCTACCTATATAGTTTAAGTTTAAAAAATTTGGCTCTCAAAAGAAATGTCAATCGTTGTACTGTTGGTATTTGGCTCTGTTGACTAATGAGTTTGCCGACCACTGGCCCAAGCGGTCCTTCCGCCGAGGCTCTGTCTCTTGGACATTCAACCTGGTCAGTACTTGGTGCTCTTCCCACCCTCCCTCCCTGTTGACCACGCCCCTCCTCAATCTCTGGAACCTCACAGGTCCCGGGAGCCAGGTCCCTTCCAGAACCCGACGGGAACACCCCGGAGTGGGCTGTTACTGTTCCGACGCCCCAGGGATCCTCTTACTCTGAGCCCAAGACTAGTCCCGGCCTTCCTGCCGGCCTCCCTCTGCTGTCCACCACCAGTTAAGGAACCGCACGTTTTACTGGGAGAAAAGCAGCCATGGCAGGACTGAAATGAACTGAACGTATCCAATGATGTGTGTGTGGGGGAGGTGGGGGGCGGTGTTGCCACAGAAAGCCCCTGCCCACGAGTGAAAGCGGCGAGTCCCTCTACCTACCCCAGCCCAGGAGCCGGTGTGCACCCAGCAGATGCGATTGGTCCAGCCCTGGAGGAGACGACCTGGCCAGCGGGAAGGGCGCTGTGTGCTGAGAGCAGGGTCCCTTTTAGCTGGGAACCGGCCCCTGCTTTTGGACGGAACAGGGTACAGGCTGAGCTCCAGTAACGGGGCTTGAGACCCAGCCAGTGCAGGACGCGGGTCCCTCTTTTCTAAATGCCCGTGAAGGCTTAGATCAAGGGCGGAGGCCACTCAGGGGAAAAGCTGTTTCGGAGACGGTGCAGTGGTGCTTCTAGAACTCACCATCGTTTAGGGGGAGAAAGCCAATCAGGGCAACACCAAAGTGAGAACTGTCTCAGGGAGCTCAGGTGTTCGGCCCCAGGTGGCAGGAGGGGGCTGAGTGAGGTGGAGGGAGAAGACGCTGGCAGGGCCGGCAGTCTTCCTAGAGGCAGGGTCCTAGCTACCTATGAGCCTCTTCATGTTAGGGCTGGCCCAGCCTTCCACGGAGTAGAGCTCTTCCTCCTTTTCTCCTCCCTGATGAGGATCCAGGTGCAATCATCCATCTTGGGGTGGGGGTGGCGGGGTTGAAATGGGGTGGAAGTGGGGGGGCAGTAGAGCCTGGATGCCTGGGAGAGCATGTGGGAGACTATTACATAAAGGCAGGCCAGGGGACTTGGGGGGGCGGGGGTGCCAGGGAAGCAGTGGCGTTCT